GGTGAACTGAATGGCCGGGTTTTGTGCATTGAGATGATTTAGAAAATCGTTAAGTGTATCTTTACCATGTGGCCAGACAACCAAAGTGTCATCCACATATCTAAACCAAAAGGATGGTTTTAATGTGCTCGAGGCAAGTGCTCTGGTTTGTCTAAATCATCTCAATGCACAAAACCCGGCCATTCAGTTCACCATGGAAATGGAGGTGAATAACACACTCCCGTTCCTGGATATTTTACTTGGGCATGGCCCAAACGGTAAAATAACACACAGCGTTTACAGAAAGCCAACGCACACTGATGCCTATCTGAATGCAGATTCGCATCATCACCCAGCTCAGAAATCCTCTCTTATCAAGACGCTCATACATCGGGCTAAAACAGTGTCAGATGGTGAAAGTCTAGTGAGAGAGATTAAACATGTTAAAGAAGCACTAAGACAGAATGGCTACAATAATGCTCAAATTAACAGAGCACTAAAAGCCAAATCACGATCGCAAAGCAACACTGCTGAAAGCGATCAGATTATTAAAACAATAAAAATACCATTTATCTCAGGAGTAACTGATAAATTAGCCCGTGTTTTGCAAAAGCAAAACGTTACAGTAAGATTTGGTACAGTACACAAAATTCAACAACTAGTAACGTGCACTAAAGACGAATTACCTAAATTATCAACAGAAGGTGTATATCGGATTAATTGTGTATGTGGCAGATGCTATATTGGACAGACAGGGCGTAACGTTAGTGTAAGACTAAAAGAACACCAGAGAAATATTAAACTATCACAAACACAACTGTCGGCAGTAGCAGAACATGCATGCCAACAGGGACACTCAATTGATTTTGACAACGTGGAAGTGTTGTGTAAAACTAGTTACTACTGGCAAAGACTAATTAGAGAATCGATTGAAATTGAGAGAAACAGAAATAACTTTAATCGCTCAGACAGCTACAGGCTTAGTGCGGCCTGGAAGCGTATTATTAAATAAGATACATTACAATTACTTATAAGGGAAACAACCACTAACTGATTACTAATGTAGCATAATCACAATAAAACACATTCCAAATGATTACTAATCTACAACTCGCATCGTAACAATAGCCTGATTACTAATCTAGTATATAATTACAATCACTCCCCCCTTGAAGCTTGGCACCTGATGAGTTAATGAGTTAATGATGACGTCACCCTGCTGCTGCTCTATATAAGAACGGGAGACACAGGAGAACCTCACCATTCTGGCGAATTGCCCGATGATGCTGGTTGCAATTACTAGCGAAACGTCGTACTCAAATTGTAAATGTTGTGGCTTCAACACACCGGTGGGCTAAAGCAGTGAACTATTTGTCTTTGTCAACGTGACACTTTTTTACTAATTGGCCGTGTCGGGTGGTGGAGGGTTACGACACATTTATAAATAACGCGATCTAAACCCAAAAACGTTGATTATGAATAACATTGGTCGCGAAAGCCTACGTGTTTTGCATTCCCGTTCACCGAATGGGATATACCGGTAAAATACCGGTTACCAGTTTGCCGTACATGTGTAATGATGCGACATCCGAGACGCAACTTGTAGAGGGTTCCTTGTTTATTTCTCAACACTTTACGGACAGGGTCGCTGAGTAACATACACACTGGGCTACGTATAGCTCCTCCACCCAAACAGCCACATCGGCGACGTACAACTATATACAGTGAGGGAAAAAAGTATTTGATCTCCTGCTGATTTTGTACGTTTGCCCACTGACAAAAAAATGATCAGTCTATAATTTTAATGGTAGGTTTATTTGAACAGTGAGAGACAGAATAACAACAACAAAATCCAGAAAAACGTATGTAAAAAATGTTATAAATTGATTTGCATTTTAATGAGGTAAATAAGTATTTGACCCCTCTGCAAAACATGACTTAGTACTTAGTGGCAAAACCCTTGTTGGCAATCACAGAGGTCAGACGTTTCTTGTAGTTGGCCACCAGGTTTGCACACATCTCAGGAGGAATTTTGTCCCACTCCTCTTTGCAGATCTCCAAGTCATAAAGGTTTCGAGGCTGACGTTTGGCAACTCGAACCTTCAGCTCCCTCCACAGATTTTCTATGCGATTAAGGTCTGGAGACTGGCTAGGCCACTCCAGGACCTTAATGTGCTTCTTCTTGAGCCACTCCTTTGTTTTCTTGGCCATGTGTTTTGGGTCATTGTCATGCTGGAATACCCATCCACGACCTATTTTCAATGCCCTGGCTGAGGGAAGGAGGTTCTCACCCAAGATTTGACGGTACATGGCCCCGTCCATCGTCCCTTTGATGCGGTGAAGTTGTCCTGTCCCCTTAGCAGAAAAACACCCCCAAAGCATACTTTTTCCACCTCCATGTTTGACGGTGGGGATGATGTTCTTGGGGTCATAGGCAGCATTCCTCCTCCAAACACAGTGAGTTGAGTTGATGCCAAAGAGCTCCATTTTGGTCTCATCTGACCACAACACTTTCACCCAGTTGTCATCTGAATCATTCAGATGTTCATTGCCAAACTTCAGATGGGCATGTATATGTGCTTTCTTGAGCAGGGGGACCTTGTGGGTGCTGCAGGATTTCAGTCCTTCACGGCGTAGTGTTACCAACTGTTTTCTTGGTGACTATGGTCCCAGCTGCCTTGAGATCATTGACAAGATCCTCCCGTGTAGTTCTGGGCTGATTCCTCACCGTTCTCATTATCATTGCAACTCCACGAGGTGAGATCTTGCATGGAGCCCCAGGCCGAGGGAGATTGACCTTTTGTGTTTCTTCCATTTGCGAATAATCACACCAACTGTTGTCACCTTCTCACCAAGCTGCTTGGCAATGGTCTTGTAGCCCATTCCAGCCTTGTGTAGGTCTACAATCTTGTCTCTGATATCCTTGGAGAGCTCTTTGGTCTTGGCCATGGTGGAGAGTTTGGAATCTGATTGATTGCTTCTGTGAATAGGTGTCTTTTATACAGGTAACAAGCTGAGATTAGGAGCACTCTCTTTAAGAGTGTCCTCCTAATCTCAGCTCGTTACCTGTATAAAAGACACCTGGGAGCCAGAAATCTTTCTGATTGAGAGGGGGTCAAATACTTATTTCCCTCATTAAAATGCAAATCAATTTATAACATTTTTGACATGCGTTTTTCTGGATTTTGTTGTTATTCTGTCTCTCACTGTTCAAATAAACCTACCATGAAAATTATAGACTGATCATTTCTTCGTCAGTGGGCAAATGTACAAAATCAGCAGGGGATCAAATACTTTTTTCCCTCACTGTAGCTATTACAACGATGAGGACCATACAGCGGATCAGCTATGCAGCAGCGACGACGATGAAGAGATGGTAGCGAAGATGGCGACGGCAGCCAGGACCCGAACCCCCACAACTGCCCCGAACCCGCGGTTGCCTCTTCTTTATATATCACCCAGCGTGGCCAAGCCCCGCCTCTGGCCATGCCCCACCTCTGGCTATGTCCCACGTCTCGAACTCTCCTGCTAGTTCCAGGAGCTTCCCGATTCATCCCAGTTACGCCCCCCTTATGGTTGTCCGTTGTATAGCGCACCCATACCTGTAGTTAGTCCCCATGGTCAACAGATGGCATCCTGTCACTACACATGTATAACAACAACCACTATTCGCCACTTAGTGGCGGTAATGTTACCACGGTCCTTGTGCCAGGCTAGGTGCACTTTAAGGCCACGTGAAGTGTCGAACGCCCGCTGGCAGGGTGTCACGGAACAGGCCCTGCAGGTGCCATGGGTTGACTGACTTAGATGGCTAGCCGATACACCATCTGTGCTCCCTACTATGCCAAGTTGTCACGGTTGGCATATATGTGTAGTGAATGACTCAGAGACACTAAGAGTAGGAGGCACTGTTTATTAACACGGCCTGACAGTTAACAGGACCGCTGACTGGCGACGCCAAGGTGGTGAAGATGGAGACGACGGTGAAGACTCCAGCAGCACGATGGGATCCCAATCCAAACTACAGCCCCGATGTCCCCTCCAGGGGACCCTCTTATACTGTCTGCGTGACCTGGCTCCACCTCCGGCCATGCCCCCTTCTGGAACCTACTAGCGGGTTCTCGATGTGCCACTTCCGTGACCCTTCCCCTAGATCCCTCTCTGGTATATCACCTGGCCTGCTGTCAGTCAGGGCTGCTGTAAGCTGCAGATCCCCTTCCCTGCCAGCAGCCAGCACTATACTGCTACGTGACTGATTCTGTAACTTTTCACGTATACATGTCTAGCAACAAACATAGCATGTTTACATTTTTAAGTGAGAAACAGATTGTAATGGTTTGCACATTTGACTTGCAATCCAGAGGTCACTGGTTCAATTCTATCTCCCGGCACAGACGTTGAAACACTTGGGCATTTCGCTGTTTCTCCCCCATAGTTTGCTTGACCTGTTGTCAAGATTTCTTCGCCGATACCTTGCTTATGATCTAGTCTAATGTGATTGAACTCGAGATGGTCTCGTGACAATAAATCAATACCTCTTTAATATTCAAAACCACAATCTTTCAACAACAACAAAAACCGTCTCTCTTAACAAGTCAAAAGCGATGCGACATCTTCCAGCCCCTGCTGACATCACGTGCAAGTTTTCAACACTGCTAACAGAAAAATGTATACACCACGGTCATTTAATTGACAAGTTGTGTGTGATGGAGTAAAGTGTGGGTATGCCTATAGTTTTCCAAGCTATCTGGTTAGCATGGAAGAGCAGGCAAATACCCCTCTAGAGCTCCCTCCACTGCTAGCGGTGGAGGGAGCATCACATTGCCGGCTTGCACCTTTACTTGAGTATTGAGGACACATTTACTTGGGCTGCCATGCGGTTTGTATGTTCGCCTGGTTCCTAACTTTCGCAAATGGTCATCGATTCTAAAAATGGTTTCCGAGTAGGGCCTTGCACGCTAATGCAGTAGCCTAGGACTCGGGGATCTTCCGCTAAGCAAACTCTGCCGGTGCGTCTGCAGGGTGGCGGTGGCGCGTGGTGCAGGCCGCGTCATGGCGGGCCGAGGCCTGCAACTCACGCTGGCACTCCTGAAACCAGACGCGTTGGCGCACGGCATTGCCTGGGAGGTTGGTGAACAAACCTACAATTGTGTGGCCCTGGCACTTAACAGCACGATAACATTGAGCCCTTTTTCCATATTAACGCAAAACCTTGCTTGAATTGGAGAATCTGTCGACTTCGGACTATGGTTGCTACGCGATTTTTGGATGTGTATGCTTTTTTAAATGATGCAATAGCTGTCATAGAGAATGCATTCAAGATGGGGCTAATGTAATGAAAGCAAAGGGAGACAAATTAGTGGAGAAATGAAAACGCAAAGATGCCAAAGAATACATAGAACTCTGTAAAATGATTCCGAAAATGATGAAGAAATAATCGGAGAACACAGCACATTAAATAAATGAAAATGTCATACAGAGCAAGCAATGAGAACTTGAAAGCAGTAAAATTGAGGTTGATTATAATTGGCATCCACCAGATGCGACCAACCGGTCAATTAAACCATGTTGTACACTGGATAATGAAGAGAATCGCACATCACATGGCAAGCCTTCTGTACAAGAATTTAACTGGAATGGTACAGGATGATAGACATACAAATAATTTTATTGGTTTTCATTTGGGTCAATAACCAAATTAAACTAAACCGTTTATTTTATCAGGTAAAGCCCACTGAACTGTATAGCTCTTTTTTAGAAGTGACTTGGCCATAATTTATAGCTCGAAGTGGCTTATCTGGATATTTATAGCAGCCAAATACTCTAAATGCATGCTTCGAAATGTGAAGGGAAAAACCGGGGGACCCGTGTAAAAAAACACGACCACAGGGAGAACATGAAAACTCCAAATATACAGGCATCATGGTAGGGATCGAATCTACGGGACCCTATAAACCAGGCGAGGTAGTAAAAATCTAGCCACCGTGGCGCCCACGGTGGTGAGATGTTAAATGACCTTCAATAATCATGACATCGCAAGCCTTGTAGGTTTATGCCTGAATAGTGCTTGGATGGACAATGGCCATGCATAACAGGTAATATTGGCTGCTGCGAGGCTACATTATTTGTCAGCAGAGGACAGTGTAGCAAAGTCCATTGCTGTGTTGTACTTTGCTCCCATGTCTATGCTCCACACCTTCAACCCGCACTGATGGATGCGATGAAGTATGGTCAAATAATCCACATGACATGGGCAGGCCTGTCTAATGGTTGTATGTGTGTACTGTGTTTTGAGGCTGTGCACCAGGACGTTTTAAAGAACAAGTTTTTAATAGTGAAATCCAAAGAGTTAAAATTGAAGAGAAGGGATTCGGAGTGCTTCTATGCAGCGCATAAGGGTGAGTGACTGTTATCTCTGTGTTTCAAGCACTATTTGAAATATTAACATTATCACCCTAGTTTATACAGGTGTAACGGGTTCCGGAGGCACTTGTAGAGGTAACTTCTTTATTACAATACAACACTCCAACAGTCCAACTCTCCAACAGTCCAACTCTCCAACAGTCCTGATACTCTGTTACAGCCTAGGTACAGAGCCTAGGTACACAGCCTAGATACTCTACTCTGGCTACGCTCTGGAACTCGCCCTCACAAGGTCGTAGAGTCGGGAGTTCCAGAGTCCCACCACTGGCTCTCACAGCATCCCAGGGTCTTCAGATGGCTGGTCGTGGGTCTTGGGTCTTGAGTTACAACTGGCCCTGATCGTCCAGGAAGCTCCGCTTATATGCCCAGTCCCCAACGAGGGGTGGGGCCGTGTGCGCCCCCAGATATCCCACAGAGCACACACAGCCCCCCCCCCCCCCCCCTTTGGCGGCGCCAAGGGGATTAAGCGCCTGGGAACTCAACGCCTGACGCCAAGAGGCTTAAGCGTCTGACCCGCCTGAGAACCCACACCTGGCGCCAAGGGGATTAAGCGCCTGGCCCTCCCAGGGACCCAGAGCCCCCAGCAGCCCCTCCCTTCTTATGTCACTACACAGGTAAGCATACTTATACTGTTTATCAAGTCTATGACCAACATTTGTTTGTATTGCACACTTGTATTGATCGTGGTATTGCAATTGGAGAGCTATGTGATAAAGAACGATCACTGATATTTGAAGCCAACAGGGACATGAAGATGTTCATTACTTTATTATTAATTCGCTTGGTTGATTACCCATGAAAGCCTCACTGAGCCTCAAGACTAATCTTCAGTATGGTCCTGCCGAGTTCTTCGCTGGAGGGGGGCGATGTTGCTACGTGTCATCTCAATTGAGTTATATACAGGTCATTTTTCAGCAATGCCAGTTGCATGGGTATGATCTTCAGTCATGTGAGGAAACCAGAGAATTTGGAGGAAACCAATGCAGAACAGCGGGAGAGAACATACAAACGGCACACAGACACTATGAAGAACAATGAGAGAGAACATACAAACTCCACACACACACACTCTGCAGAACAGTGGGAGAGAACATACACACTCTACACAGGTGCCCGAGTCGGAAGTTAAACCCAGGCCCCTTCTTGCTGCAATGTGTAAATAGCTGTTAGAAAGGTGGTGTACCTTTTGCCCATAAAGGACCTCTTAGTGGCAGTTATAGTGCGTGAACAAATCCTTTCTTGCAAGTTCATTGCAAGTTTATCAAAATGTGCTTCTGTTAAAATGTTCCTCATGCTTCCTAATGGCAGTTAGAACAACATTATTTCTGAGCCTGTTGAAGTTTTTTTCAGCTTAACGAAGCCTGACCTAAGTTAGAACCAATGGAACTCAACGTCTATACAGCATTCCCATGAACGTATTTGTTCGTCATTGTTTAATGTATATGGTTCGTTTTTTTTCTTTATAAGGATTTATTTTTTTGTCCTTTTCAGGGAGATTCTTTTTTCAACGATTGGTGGAGTTTATGGCAAGGTGAGTAGAAACACAAATGCTGTACATGAATGCGTTTACAGCCATTACAATTTTACTCAACTCGTGCAGATGCATTTTGCATTTATGCTTGGAGTGCAAGCTTTGCAGCTGTAGGTCTGAATGAGGATACAGAATAATAAGTTACGATAAAGATTGAGTTGCAGAGGGAAAGTATTTTTGTTCATACCAAGTGGGATTCGAGGTTATAAACATTTTGCATATTTAATGTAGATTTTTTTAAATATATTGAATATGTCTTAAATATATTGCCGAAAATCAAATATCTATAACTTATTAAATACAGCATGTGATATTTAACTACACGTGGTTTGTGCCCGCCAGACGAGAGCAATCGATTGCAGACACTATTCAACCAGATTGAACATGCACAGTATAGAATAACCGTATTTTCCCGCATATAGCCGGCATACACATACAGTAGAACCTCGGAGATCGAAAGCACCAGAACTCGAACAAATCGGTGTTCGAACGATATTTCCGAACATTTTTTGCCCCGGAAACCGAACGAAATTCGGAGGTCGAATGGGCAATCGCGACTTGAAAGATCCTGTACGGCTGAGACGCGTATGGCCAGCGTGCATGATTGCTTGCCCAGACAAAGGTTTTACCACCTCCTCACCACCTTCCACTCAAGCCATCAACTCTCCTTACTACAGGTAAAGTGAAGTTCAATGATCACTTATTTCATTGATTCCATTTATTTATTTGTTGTGTTGCTTGTATTTTTTTATGATTTTATTCAAGTCATTACTGTAAACTTCGTGTAAAAATGCTTTATAATGAGAGATTGCTTGTGTCTGGAACCAATTAATGTCATTTACATTAATTGTTATGGGGAAAATTAATTAGGTGTTCGAACAAATCAGTGTTTGAATGGCCTTCTGAAACGAATTAAGTTCGATCTCCGAGATACCACTGTATAACCCGCAGATGCATATACCCCGCAAAAATAGCATTTTGTGTAAAACATTTCAGATAGCCCGCACCTCCATATATCCCGCATGCATTCATATCTTTAACGTCGTTACCGCAGCTTAATTCCATCATATTAATACGAAGTTTACATTTGTAATACATTCCACTATCAATTGTTAACATTACAATCATAACGTGCACAAAGAAATCAAACTAACCGGAAACGAGTGAACTTAAAACAGTGATTAAGTAACAAAAGTAAATATCCAATAAATAACACATAACTGGTAGATAAGTACAGTTTTAGCACTGGTAGATTGCGCACTGTGCAGATAATAGTGGCACTTCGGTAACGCCGTTGCCTCGCACCCCCTACCTCTCCCTCCAGCTCCCCCGTCCCCAGTAAACAAATTGCGCCCACTTCAAACATTCTCGTTTTATTGTACAAACAATTAGAATAATTTAAAACGTGATGACATGTGTAATTTTAGTGTGAGTGGTTTATTCAGCAGTGCTTTAGTCAAAGGTAAGTGTTGCATAGTGGATAGTCCTACCATGAAATTTTTTTACGAGTTACGACACGTTACACGTGTAAAATATTCTTGGGATAGCCCGCACCTCCATATACCCCGCAGGGTCTTGTTTTGTTTGTAAAAAGTGGTATACCCCGCGGGTTATATGCGGGAAAATACGGTACTCCACGTTTTATATATTGGCTATTTAACAGGCACAAGCAGTAAGATATTGACAACATTGAAATGCAGCATATTTATACATTCTAGATTTGAAGTTTTCGTGACTGCAAGGATTCATACTCTTTGGTTTTTTCGGTAGTCACGTAGGTGAAAATAAAGTAAAAATGTTTTCATTTTTATTGTTTTCACCTACGTGACTTTACCGAAAAAAAACAAAGAGTATATTTATACATGTTTGTTATTTGAAAACGTTAAATACCTCTTTTATTATTTATGTTGGTGATAATTGAGGATGTACCAAAATATTATTGTCCAGTATCAGACACGTTTCTGTCACTTGATGCGGGTTCGGTTTGTGCGATTTTGCGTATATGCGGAAAACCCATTTCCACCCAGAATTTGCTCCATGGGTTTGAATTTACTCCAATACTCTTATGCGGACGATGTAGGACAACATTGTGTGTGTCATATGCGGTCTATAATACGCAATTTCGCTTTGTGCATCCCCTTTTTGGAATGTGTACTGCGTAAAGCGAGAGAAACTGGTATAAACAATCAAACTTACCAACATAAAATAGAACTTATAATAAATTTGCCACTGAGTAGGCAAACGAGTATTTGTCAGAAATGCATATTATATAATTACATAAAAATGTCACTGCTTCATGATTTCTGAACCTTATTTAAATGGAGATGATAGGGAGAAATAACATGAGGATGCAGTTGGATAAAATGAGGTGGTGAGCAAAGGAAAGAGATGTAAATAGTGGCAGCGTTTTGTATCATGGAGGGAAATGTAATGGTAATTATAAATAAGTGGGATGATTAGTCTCTGGGAAATCGCACACAGCCTCAGGATTCGTAAGTTTAAAGCTGTTAAATCATAAAAAGGTTAAATATAATATATACCCCAGATAAAGTACATTTAGACCAAATGTGTATGCATGGTCATTCTACTGCTGGATGAACTGCCTAAGCATCCACCTTCGGTGATGTCACAATGCAAAAATCGTGTAAACCAGCTCCTGCTATTCTCACATCTGCTCCACACTCCACCTGTTTTGTACATTTGTGTGTATCTATGTATATGCATATTATTGGTATTGGTTAAACAGTTATAGTTGTGTCCATTGGCTATGTTGGATAACTGGCTTTCTGACACCATTATGAGATACAGCTGCACTTATTTCTTGATTATGAAGTGGATCAGATGATCATAAAAAGCAATGCACTCCATCATTTTTTTATATATACACTTGTAATGTGACAAAGGGCTGTGATTATTTTTAGAGTATACATCTAAAACTGCATATCTGAATTTTCATGTAATTAGATTGCATTGAAGTCAGCTTACTCGGAGGAACCAATAAGTCAGTGTTTGTCATTTTGTTATTTTCCTAGCTGCTCATCTACTTCCCCATTAGTAACAATTCCACAGTTATGGGACAATCACATAGGTGGACAACCACAGTTAATGTCCCCAAAATATGATCACCAAAATATATTCATTTAGCAAATCCCAAAGGTGTCTGTCTTGGCCATGGTTAGGGAATCTCACGATTTTGAGTATCGATGCTCGAAAAAGCCAATATAATTCCTTGGGAATTGGGGTAATCCAGGAATACGTGTAACTACATTACATTAGTCAATCAGCAAAACTAAATATTCGTGCATTCTATACCTACAAATAAAAATGAAACACTTTGCACGTTTGAAACACTTTGAAACACTTTGCACGTTTGCAAGTTAAATGAAGCGTGGATGTATTCTTTATAGAAATACGCTGATAGATTGTGATTGGATTTCACTTGAGCAAACTGCAGTGAGAAATGTGCCACCTGGTTTCATTAATTTAAATTTGCTTTACCGTTCGGTGATGCCTTTACAAGGTGCCCTTTGTGCACAGTATTGGGCTGCCTTTTTACTACCCTAGGTACTGTATGGGCAGCCCTCGGCTTACGAGCATAATTAGTTCCTGAGACCCGTTTGTAAGTCGGAACACAATTATGCACTATTTAAATGCCCATATGATCAATGTTATTAAATGTGTTACAGTTCAACAAGAAGGGAAGCATTGTTAAATATTGTAAATTTGCATGTAACACGTTTTAAATCAATGTTATTTTTATTTTATGGAAGCTGGTTCGTAAGTATGGGTGTTCATAAGTCAGGTGTTTGTAAGTTGAGAACTGCCTGTGTTCTGTGTTTATGGTTCTAAACCTGTGATTTGCAGATCACCAGTGGTCTTCAAGGCCATGTGTGTTAAGTGGCCCGTAGAATTTTTGTAAAATACCACGTAGTTTTATTGTATAGTGATCCAAAACATTTTCTTGAAGGTTGACTGGTCCATGGGTCCAGAAGGTTAAGAAGCAGTGCTTATGTCATATTTCTAATTTTTCGTCTTGCAAAAATGAATATTTATTCAATTAAATGTACAAACCTTTTCTATAAATTAGTGAATTAAGCATGATAAATAAGAAGAGGTTTTACCCTCTGGCAATAAAATAGGTGTTAAGATTTTCAGACTTCAAATAGATACCACAAGTAGGTGTAGTTAATTCAGACTTGATTCCTTGAACATCATAACACCTTTTTATTTCGATTTAAAGCTTTCGTGACTGCAGGGATTCATCTTCTTAGTTCTTTCGGTAAAGTCACGTAGAAGGGAAGTAATAAAATAATAAAAATAAAACATAATAAAATAAAATAACCTTTTTATTGTCACAAGGATAGAACTTCTCTTCTTTTTAATACTTTGATAATGGAAAAAAGGTCCCATAGATAAGCATGATACGTTTTTTATTACAAGCATTTCATTTTTCACATTCTAGACAGGTGTTGAAATTGGGCCAACAATGTATGCTAGATGATGTCAGCACGCAGCCTGTCTGATGGTGTTGTACGGTAGTGGGCCGATACGGGTGTACGTCCTGGCACACCACGATGCGGTGCGAGCCTGGCGGGAGCTCATGGGACCCACGAAGGTGTTCCGTGCCGTCCACACCGCTCCAGAAAGCATCCGTGCATGCTATGGCCTCACCGACACGCGCAACACCACCCACGGCTCCGGTACAGCCATAAGGGCTATGTTTAACTATAATGCTCCATTTTTCACGTTGCTGTATACATGCTCATTTCAGGTTTGTTTTAGTTACTGTGTATTAAATCCTATTATATTGTTCAGTTTTTAATTGTACAGTTTCAACAGGTTGAGATGTTAATGATGCAATATAAAATGAAATTATTAATTTGTTGCATTTTCGTTTTAAACAATCGTTTACTCTGATTCAACAGATTCTTCTGCATCAGCGCTTCAAGAGATTTCTTTTTTCTTTCCGGAGTTTGATGTGGCCTGCTGGTTTAACACGTGGGAACCAGCATTTCGAGCAGGATGCGTTTCTTACCATCCGAAATTGTGTGTACACCTGCCGTTACATGCTTAATGTGCACCATATGGACTGGTACCACACTTGACTCTTGTCATTAAATATTTCATCTTATAGAGATCAATCTGTTTTTTAAAGATACTGTGAAGGTATTCATATCTATGGAGTTTTTTTTACCAATATCCCAAATTTCTGAAAAATAAGAATAGGTTTTACCCTTTCTGGCAATAAAACAGGTGTTCACATGTTCAAACACCACATAGATAGCTTTTTCAAGGCATCACGTCTGCATTAACCACACATACTTGTGCAAAATATGCAAACAAACATGCTCTGATCATTTTTAACACGTAGGTTTTCGTGACCAATATCATCCATCGTAGAGGTTGTTTTGGGTTAGATCGCGTAAATATATACATGTGTCATTGAAACCCGCCACCACCCAACAAAGCCAACTAGTAAGTTTCAAATTTCATTTATTAGGTATAGCCCTGTGAGCCATGCGGCTCTTGAGTCGGGTGCAACCGCAACAAACAAAATATGAACAAAGAACATCTTAAAGCGACGACGCGCAACAGTAACATCCTGGATAAACCAGCAAATCTTTCAGAAAAAAAACCCACCATATTGCAACGCTGTGTGCAAAAATCCCAGTGTGATGCAAGTCAAACAATAACAACCATAAGACAATTTAGATTAAAGTTATCAGGTCAACTCTGCACTTCTGCAAGAAACATGGCTTAACCATATGTTTTCAAAATCACCAAAATAAAGCTATAAAAACAATGTAACAACAGTAATCATAGGAACTGAGATTCAAATTTAACAATAAACGATATACATAACATGTACGACCAAACTTGCAGCCATAGCTGGCAGCATGACACTCCCAGTGTATGATGTGAGTGTGAGTCAGTGGTAGTGTGAGTGAGTGTATGATGTGTAAGTGAGTCAGCGTATGATGAGTGAATCCGTGTATGATGAGTGAATGGGTCAGTGTTGTGTGAGTGAGTGAATGATGTGTGAGTGAGTTAGCATATGATGAGTGAGTCAGTGTAAGATGAGTGTATCACGGCATGCTCCCCGCCATCACGGCCTCCTCCATGCCATCACGGCCTTCTCCACGCCATCACGGCCTCCCCGCCATCACGGCCTCCCCGCCATCACGGCCTCCTCCACGCCATCACGGCCTCCTCCACGCCATCACGGCCTCCACACCATCACGGCCTCCTCCCCGCCATCACGGCCTCCTCCACGCCATCACGGCCTCCACGCCATCACGGCCTCCACACCATCACGGCCTCCTCCCCGCCATCACGGTCTCCTCCACGCCATCACGGCCTCCTCCACGGCATCACGGCCTCCTTCACGCCATCACGACCTCCACACCATCACGGCCTCCCCGCCATCACGGCCTCCTCCACGCCATCACGGCCTCCTCCACGCCATCACGGCCTCCACACCATCACGGCCTCCTCCCCGCCATCACGGCCTCCTCCACGCCATCACGGCCTCCTCCACGCCATCACGGCCTCCTTCCCCGCCGTCACGGCCTCCTCCCCCGCCATCACGGCCTCCTCCCCCGCCATCACGGCCGCCTCCCCGCCATCACGGCCTCCACGCCATCACGGCCTCCTCCACGCCATCACGGCCTCCTCCCCCGCCATCACGACCTCCACGCCATCACGGCCTCCTTCCCCGCCATCACGGCCTCCTCCACTCCATCACGACCTCCACACCATCACGGCCTCCTCCCCGCCATCACGACCTCCACGCCATCACGGCCTCCTGCACGCCATCACGGCCTCCTCCCCCGCCATCACGGCCTCCTCCACGCCATCACGGCCTCCTCCCCCGCCATCACGGCCTCCCCGCCATCACAGCCTCCTCCACGCCATCACGGCCTCCTCCACGCCATCACGGCCTCCTCCACGCCATCACAACCTCCACACCATCACGGCCTCCTCCACGCCATCACGGCCTCCTCCACGCCATCACGGCCTCCTCCCCCGCCATCACGGCCTCCCCGCCATCACAGCCTCCTCCACGCCATCACGGCCTCCTCCACGCCATCACGGCCTCCTCCACGCCATCACGGCCTCCTCCCCCGCCATCACGGCCTCCTCCCCCGCCATCACGGCCTCCACGCCATCACGGCCTCCTCCACGCCATCACGGCCTCCTCCACGCCATCACGGCCTCCTCCCCCGCCATCACGGCCTCCCCGCCATCACGACCTCCACGCCATCACGGCCTCCTCCCCCGCCGTCACGGCCTCCTCCCCCGCCATCACGGCCTCCTCCCCCGCCATCACGGCCTCCCCGCCATCACGGCCTCCACGCCATCACGGCCTCCTCCACGCCATCACGGCCTCCTCCCCCGCCATCACGGCCTCCCCGCCATCACGACCTCCACGCCATCACGGCCTCCTCCCCCGCCGTCACGGCCTCCTTCCCCGCCATCACGGCCTCCTCCACTCCATCACGACCTCCACACCATCACGGCCTCCTCCCCGCCATCACGACCTCCTCCACGCCATCACGGCCTCCTGCACGCCATCACGGCCTCCTCCCCCGCCATCACGGCCTCCCCGCCATCACAGCCTCCTCCACGCCATCACGGCCTCCTCCACGCTATCACGGCCTCCTCCACGCCATCACGACCTCCACACCATCACGGCCTCCTCCACGCCATCACGACCTCCTCCCCCGCCATCACGGCCTCCCCGCCATCACGGCTTCCTCCCCGCCATCACGACCTCCTCCACGCCATCACGGCCTCCTCCCCCGCCGTCATGACCTCCTCCCCGCCATCACGGCCTCCTCCACGCTATCACGGCCTCCTCCCCCGCCGTCACGGCCTCCTCCCCCGCCATCACGGCCTCCTCCACGCCATCACGACCTCCACACCATCACGGCCTCCTCCCCGCCATCATGACCTCCTCCACGCCATCACGGCCTCCTCCACGCCATCACGGCCTCCTCCACCCCATCACGGCCTCCTTCACGCCATCACGGCCTCCTCCACGCCATCACGGCCTCCTCCACGCCATCACGGCCTCCTCCCCCGCCATCATGGCCTCCCCGCCATCACGGCCTCCTCCACGCCATCACGGCCTCCTCCACGCCATCACGGCCTCCTCCCCCGCCATCACGGCCTCCCCGCCATCACGACCTCCTCCACGCCATCACGGCCTCCTCCCCCGCCGTCACGGCCTCCTCCCCCGCCATCACGGCCTCCTCCACGCCATCACGACCTCCACACCATCACGGCCTCCTCCCCGCCATCACGACCTCCTCCCCCGCCATCACGGCCTCCCCGCCATCACAGCCTCCTCCACGCCATCACGGCCTCCTCCACGCTATCACGGCCTCCACACCATCACGGCCTCCTCCCCGCCATCACGACCTCCTCCACGCCATCACGGCCTCCTCCACGCCATCACGACCTCCACACCATCACGGCCTCCTCCACGCCATCACGGCCTCCTCCCCCGCCATCACGGCCTCCCCGCCATCACAGCCTCCTCCACGCCATCACGGCCTCCTCCACGCTATCACGGCCTCCTCCACGCCATCACGACCTCCACACCATCACGGCCTCCTCCACGCCATCACGACCTCCACGCCATCACGACCTCCATGCCATCACGGCCTCCTCCCCGCCATCACGACTTCCTCCACGCCATCACGGCCTCCTCCCCCGCCGTCACGACCTCCTCCCCGCCATCACGGCCTCCTCCCCGCCATCACGACCTCCACGCTATCACGGCCTCCTCCCCCGCCGTCACGACCTCCACGCCATCACGGCCTCCTCCCCGCCATCACGGCCTCCTCCACGCTATCACGGCCTCCTCCCCCGCCGTCACGGCCTCCTCCCCCGCCATCACGGCCTCCTCCACGCCATCACGACCTCCACACCATCACGGCCTCCTCCCCGCCATCACGACCTCCTCCATGCCATCACGGCCTCCTCCCCGCCATCACGACCTCCTCCACGCCATCACGACCTCCACACCATCACGGCCTCCTCCCCGCCATCACGGCCTCCTCCCCGCCATCACGACCTCCTCCACGCCATCACGGCCTCCTCCACGCCATCACGGCCTCCTCCCCGCCATCACGGCCTCCTCCACGCCATCACGGCCTCCTCCACGCCATCACGGCCTCCACACCATCACGGCCTCCTCCCCGCCATCACGGCCTCCTCCACGCCATCACGGCCTCCTCCACGCTATCACGGCCTCCCCGCCATCACAGCTTCCTCCACGCCATCACGGCCTCCTCCACGCCATCACGGCCTCCTCCACGCCATCACGACCTCCACACCATCACGGCCTCCTCCACGCCATCACGACCTCCTCCACGCCATCACGACCTCCCCGCCATCACGGCTTCCTCCCCGCCATCACGACCTCCTCCACGCCATCACGGCCTCCTCCCCCGCCGTCACGACCTCCACGCCATCACGGCCTCCTCCCCGCCATCACGGCCTCCTCCACGCTATCACGGCCTCCTCCCCCGCCGTCACGGCCTCCTCCCCCGCCATCACGGCCTCCTCCACGCCATCACGACCTCCACACCATCACGGCCTCCTCCCCGCCATCACGACCTCCTCCACGCCATCACGGCCTCCTCCACGCCATCACGGCCTCCTCCACGCCATCACGGCCTCCTTCACGCCATCACGGCCTCCTCCCCGCCATCACGGCCTCCTCCCCGCCATCACGGCCTCCTTCACGCCATCACGGCCTCCTCCACCCCATCACGGCCTCCTCCACCCCATCACGGCCTCCTCCCCGCCATCACGGCCTCCTCCACGCCATCACGGCCTCCTCCACGCCATCACGGCCTCCACACCATCACGGCCTCCTCCCCACCATCACGGCCTCCGCCACGCCATCACGGCCTCCTCCACGCCATCACGGCCTCCTCCACGCCATCACGACCTCCACACCATCACGGCCTCCTCCCCGCCATCACGGCCTCCTCCACGCCATCACGGCCTCCTCCCCCGCCATCACGGCCTCCCCGCCATCACAGCCTCCTCCACGCCATCACGGCCTCCTCCACGCCATCACGGCCTCCTCCACGCCATCACGGCCTCCTCCCCCGCCATCACGGCC